TTCAACTTGTGGTCACTAGGACTCCTAGATCCCTTTCACACATAGTCTTGTCGAGTCAGGTATCCCCCATCCTATATTTATGCATTATATTTTTTCTGCCTAAGTGCAGTAGCTTCCATTTCCCCCTGTTGAAATTCATTTTATTACTCTTGGCATAGCTTTCTAATCTATTCAGGTAATTCTGAATTTTGATCCTCTCCTCTGGGGTATTAATTACTCCGCCTAATTTGGTGCCATCTGCAAATTTAATGTTCTGCATATAAGTTGAATAGGTAGGGGGATGAGACGCAGCCTTGTCTGACCCCTTTGCCAATTGGGAACCATTGTTAAATTCCAGTCCAGTGCCATGTAATCCCACTGGGTGACCTTGGGCTAGTCACACTCTCTCAGCCTCAGAGGGTGGCAATGGCAAACCCCACCCTGAAGAAAATTGCCAAGAAAATCCATGCCAGAAAGGAAGGCACACAACAACAACCAGTACACCTCACTGGTTCCTGCAGCAGCTCTTACAACTATTATAGAAACAGACAAAAAGGTCAGGAAGGAGGCGTATATTTTTAAAAGGAAGCCATCTCTGCGGAGGGAGGGAGGGAGGGGCTGGGAAGAGCGCGCTTGTTCTCGCGCGGCGCAGAGGGAGGATAAAGGAACAGCCACCTTTCCTCCAATCATAGTCTCCCGCTCCTAACGGTCGCTCCCCGACAAACCACGCCCACTCCTCGCTTAGCTCCCCGCAAAGTAGCGCAAGCGCATTCGGCGACCAAACCCCTCCCGCGCGCACGTACTGCGCCTGCGCACCATCCCCCCTCCATCTTGGGCAAAAGACCACCGGCTTCATCGTGAGGCGGGCCGTTTTTCTCTTCCCGTCGCTTCCCCTCATACCGTCATTTTCCTCCCGACGCTCTCAGTTACCTGCTTCTCCAGAATACCCTTTTCAACAGGAATCCTAAGAGCCGGTTACAGTCCTTAAAAGAGAAAACTAGGTAAAATGTTTCTCATGGCGAGGCCGTTTGTAGAGGAGGCTTTGCGCATGCTCAGAGGCGTATGCCGAAGCCGCCGCCGCGCCCTCTTTGCCCTGACTTGTGAACCGCTGGGGGGCGGGACCACGGGTTATGTTGTGCTCACTTCCTTCCTGGCACCGGAAGAGGCGGGGCTGGGGAGGCTGCTTGTAGGAGAGCAGTAGGCAACAATGTGCTAAAACAGCATGTTAGTTAATCCATTATAAGTCAGGCTCGTAGTAACTGAGTGGCATTTCTGTTATATATTATATTATAAATATTATATTAAATATGGAGTTATTTGAATTTGAGCCTCCCTTATCATAAATGTTTGGGATGTCAGATTATTTTTGGTTATTACCTGTATTTGCATATGTAAGTAATGAGAAATCTTGGAGATGGGATCCAAGTCCAAACACAAAATTCAGGTTATGTTTCATATACACTTCGTACACACAGCCAGAGGATAACTGTATACAATATTTTAAAAATAACTTCATGCATGAAAGAATGTGTGTGTACACTGAAGCACCAGAAAACAAGGGTGTTACTTTCTCAGCCACCCATGAAAAAAGTTTTGGGTTTTGGGAGTATTTGGGAACTTTGGATAAGAGAGACTCAACCTGTATTTTGTTGCTGTGTGCCTCCAAGTCCTTTCTGACTTATGGTGACCCTAAGGCAAACCTCTCATAGGGTTTTCTTAGCAATTTTCTTCAGAAGGGCTTTGTCATTGCCATCCTCTCAGGCTGAGAGTGTGTGACTTGTCCAAGGTAGTTCCCTTAGGTTCCATGGCCAAGAGGGAATGGAACCATGATCTCCAGAGCTGTAGGCCAACGCTCAAACCACTATGCCACCTTGGCTTGCTTAACTTGTACTGCTAGCGGGG